ATATGCAGTAGGAGTGATTCTTCTTAGTGTAGATAGAATTGCTTCAAAACACCAGCAATGTATATTTGAGGGAAGGACAGCATGCATGGAGAAAGGAGGACAATCCACAAGTGGGCAGTGGAGTTTCACAAAGTGGACACTTGGGTAAACAACACCCACATCAAAGTACACCAGTCACAGCCTGCCGGAAACACCTTTGGGTCCTCCTCAGTCATAAACCACCCTCCCCACCCTAGAGTAACCACTCTTGATTTCTAACACAGATGAGTTCTGCCAGTTCCAGTTGAATGGCATTGTACAGTCACCATCATGCCCCTGGGTCTCATCATCTCGCTGTGTGTGGTCGTAGCCCATTCACTCCCATGGCTGTCCAATGCTCCACTTTATAAATAGCTCATATTTCTTGTCCCTTCACTTTGATAGACAATTGTGTTGTATCCAGTTGTGCTGCTATGAATAATATTTTCATGTATTTTGGCACACACATACAAGCATTTCTACTGGTTGATAACTAAGAGTGCTATTGCTGGGTCATAGGTGAGTAGATGCTTGGCTTAGTCTCTGGTTAACAAATTTCTAGTAGAAACAAACAGTAGAGGAGCGTGAATCTCTTACTTAGAGATTATTTGGATAATAAATAAGGAAGGAATGAGAGACCGAGACTATAATAACTCTTTTGCAAACCATCATGAGTTAACGGATTTAACCATTGAATAGCAATGGCAATTAACAACACAATAAAACAAAAAACTAATGTCAAGTTCTTCCTCTTGATGGAAGAACACAATACAGCACCATCAAACAAGTACAAGTGACAAAGAAACCAAGCCTGAATATAAGCTAACCTCCATAGCCAATTACCAATTTAGAGGCAATACAGATAATAAAAACACATATTAAACAATGGCTTGGGGAGCAGTCAGCAAAATGCACACTATGGGAAGCTCTACACACAATATAAATTTCAAGAAAGAATCTATAGAATAAAAGAGAAAAAAACCATATTTCTAAAGGTAAAACAATTATAATTTTGGATGATAAAAATATAAAATAGAACAAAGAAGTGATGATCATGAAAGTCAGGATGTATTTTACTTTGGGGGAGGAAAGAGTTTACTGCTGAGCTGGGG